ATTTGCAGAAGCAGAGGCGAGCACGGATTGAAGCTGCTAAGTGTCGGATCAATGAAATTATGAAGGCTCCTGCTACTCGTATTGCAAATGCAATTGATTCACCGTCTGCTCTTGGACAAGAAGATGTCTGTCCACCACAAAAAAATATCAGGAAAAATCAATGGCGAAAGAGACGAAATGAAAAGGATCATCTGACAGAGATTTCAAATGCTCCGGACTGTGTGAATTAGAGAAAGAAAAGAGACTCATGTAATGTTATTGACTGGGAAGGTTGTGTCATTGAGCTCCTGTTATTACATGGTGCAAATGAAGCAGAGATAGAACAAGGCCAGTACAAAAGATTGTTGGAGCTGCGTGTCTTCAGTGCATAAGTGGAGAGCGATGAAAACTTGGCGATGCAGACTCTCCAGTCATTAGTATTTGATTACTGGCTTGCTTTCTGAACATAGGTTGTCATTACTCTGAATCATGCATAGTTTTTGTTAGAGAAATTCCTCGCTGTTTGCATTATTCACATGATTGCATCCCGATTTGTCTACCGTATTTACTATGTTCACCGCCGTGTATTTATCCTACCATAGTGCCTGAAGCACATTACTTTGTTTGAACTGTAAGAGCATCTCCACTCGCAGCCCCCATATAGCATCCGGATTACAACTTTGGAGAGGGCTTTGGGGGGCGTCCGGACAAAACACGTCGTATGGGGATAGCTGTTTCCCACTCGTTGACCCCAAACCACCCCCAAATTATCTCAGTGCATTAGCACAAACACCTTGGAGGCATGGAGGTCGGCGCTGCCCAGGCCGCTGGCCGCCTCCACGCGCTTCCCGTTCGCCGCGTGGGCGAGCTGCCCAGGCCGCCGGCTTCACGCCCTGCCCCGTCGGCGCGCTGCAGCAGCCAGCGGTCGAGGTTGATCTACTCGAGGTCGCCGGCGTCAGGTACAGGACAGCAACGAAGAGGAAGAGCTGCATGTATCTCTGCTTGTTCGTGTAGACGGCGGTCTGCACCCTTCCTGGAGCAAGTATTCTTGAGCATCAAGTAGATCCTGAAAATCCCGTCGCCATTCAAGATCAGAAAGATGTACAGCATGTGCATCTAGACAACGAACTGAATAAGATTAGGAAAAAAACAAGAAACAATTGGGGATTTTGGAGAGACCGTCATGGAGCCCAGCTCCGGCTGCAACAGGATGCAGAGCTGCTCAAGATGCAGACGGGAGAGAGCACGCACGCCGGTGCCTCCGCCTCGCCCACGTGTCCGGTGAACCACATCCCAAAGCTCCATGAGCAGGCCGAGCTGCTGGACGGCATCCTCGGCGGCACCCATTGCGCGCCACCACGGCACGAGCTCGAGGACGGCCACTACGGCGCGAGGACGGCCACCACGGCGCGAGGACGGCCACCACGGCCTCGCACTCCGCCTCGCGGAGCTGCGCGCAGAGCCGACGATGCAGAGATTGGAGAAAGGGGAGGGGCTCCTGACCATCTCCTGGGCGAGCGGGTTGACGACGAGGCGCTGGAGCTGGTCCACCTGCGCGTGCAGCGTGGCCTGCTGCGCCGCAACCATGGCGGGGATCGAGCCCGCCTCGACGAGGGCTCCGGCTTCGGCCGCGAGCGGCGGCGGGGAGAGGCGCCGGAGGCGGGGGCGCGACGGCGACCATGGGCAGTTTGGTGTGGACTTATGTCTGTAAGTATTACTTGGCTTTTTAAATGTACCACACTATTCACCGACGCCGAGGTTTGGCTCTCGGGCACCGTGACACTTGATATCTTGTGTGAAAATACTAGACAGACGACACTCCATGCATGATGATGCATGATTTACAATCAGATAAATGTGAAGCACTTTATTCCCTGATTCAATGGCTGGATGTGAAGCGTCGTTCATGCATCGTCCAATCGTTCAAAAACGTCGTGTGTATAGCAGCTCTCTATCTTATGCGTCCATGCGGTGCTGCGGTCCATCGGTTGAGCAGTATTCGTACGTGTATAAGAGCCTTAATTGATTCGCTGCAGCCTTAATTGCTGAATGTTCTTGGCACAGATTGTCATTCCCTTGCACTTTGTAATTTTCAGAAATTCATACTTCTCACTTCTGTTATGGACTTAGACTGGTTGTAATGAGGAGTATCATATACTAGTATCATGCATATGATACTGGTGTATGATACTACCTCCCTAATGCATAGTACTTCCTTCGTTTTTATTTATTCCGCATATTAGCTTTGGTCAAAGTTAAACTTTATAAACTTTGACAAAGTTTGTAGACAAAAATATTAACATATACAATAAGAAATCAACATCATTAGATTCATTATCAAATGTACTTCCACATAGTATAAATTTGTTATGGTAAATATTTATATTTTCTTCTATAAACTTGGTCAAACTTTAGGAAGTTTGACTTCAGTCAACTCTAATATGTGAAGTAAATAAAAACAGAGGGAGTATCATATATTAGTATGATGTAGTACTTTATTTATTGCCACGCATGACACAAAGTAGCATATCATTTATTATGATACGGTATCATGATATGATACTACACCCTCTCTTTCTTCATTTAATGCTATGACACCTCATCAAAATTGTCTAGTTGGCATGCATGATACTATCTATAATACTACCATTACGACCAGCCTTAGATCCACAACGGGATAACTACCGTGCAGAAGATAGCCAGACGGCATGGCTGCAAGGGATTGGATAGATATAGGTTGAAAAGAGAGAATAATTAGGGAGAGATTAGATTAATTGTTCCTTTTCCAAAGCTAGATACACGACATCCTTATATAGTGGAAGCTATGGCTCTTGGCCTTTTCCAGCACAATACGGACTCTTAATAAATTAGAATCCTCTGATTCTAAACTTCATAATACAATACTATCTCCTAAAAGACTCTGCTCCTGTCCTTTTGCTTCCTGATGCATGTCTCTTCCCAATACGTGACCAGCTGCTGCAATATGTCAATGCATTGGCCCTCTTGCCGGCCGGCTCCACTGTACTAGTGTCACAACACTTCACTGTTAGTACCACGCCTCTCTTATACATAGCAACTATATATCATATTTTACACCTATTAGGTAACCAAAATACGACACTGTTGTGTTGGCCTCAAAACTGGACAGACTGTGACTCTTCTGATGTCCTATTTGCTAATGCTTCATATGTGTTGTTTCAGGGAGCTGTCCAATACTTGATTGTAGGTGAATAACGGACTCCTTGATTGAATTTGTCACATCTAAAATTTATGTACAACTATGATGTGACAAAGACTATATCATACATCATTCTCTGTTTGCTCCTGACTCATGTGTTTCAGATGTGATTGCCTCGACTGCTTTGTCTTTAGGTCGCATATTCTTATGTACTGTCGTTCCAAAATAGAATTACAATGTTTTTCTTGTTAATTAGTTTGAGTACGGCTACATGTTCTTGAGGCTCTTTTCTCTTGGTACCCTTGTCCTGAACTATGCTTGGACGACCACACATGTAGATAAGATCAGGGAGGGCAGTATTTCAGTTAAGCTGTGAATGCATTGGAAATCTGAATGCATGAGTGTCATTAGCTTTTTCCTTCACGTTTAGATTTGAAGTTTTTGTTACTGTCTCAGTAGTCAGTACTATATTTATAGACCTTTTGCTGGTAGGAAATAGGTTATATTAATTGTTGCGTGCAGACTGTAGTTCCGTTTAGCATGGTCCTAAGTTTATGTCTTCCATTCTTACAGAGGTATCCTTAGCATACCAATTAAGCTCATGTTTGTCTCTAGATCATAGCTATACATCACAGAAAATCTTGTTATAACAAGTGGTCCAACCTTACAGCTCTTGTAAATACTAACTAGCCATTCTCTGCTTGGTTCATCTGTCAAACCTGCATTGTATCATTGTAAGGAATTATTAGGACTACTTTGACACTAAACATGGGTTGCACTGAACATGGTCAGTTCATGAAAAAGCTCACTGTGTTAGTAGGATACTTCAAGGATGGTTCCTCTGTAACCCGTTAAAGCTGTTGTGGAGGCCTGTCGAAAGCCTGTACATGGTGCAGTTCACAAGATACAACATTGTGGGGAAAAACCTGGCATGGAGGAGGATATTCCCTTCTGTACCTACAGCCTAACTTCACTGGCGGATCTGCCAAGGCCCAGTGCGACGCCTACATGGTTCATTGGTCAGTTATATTGTGTTCTTTGTAGATACATATACCATATTATGTTGCTTTTTTTTAGCTCCTCTACCTGATCCTTGTTGCCTGCCTTGTTTTTCTACAGATGTCATTGGTAGGATAACCATGGTCTCGGATATCATCCTTATCCATCCATGCATCATAGTGGCTTCGAAAACAAGGCCAGTTATGCTCAAGTATCTGCTATAAGTTATTTGGTTTGTTCACTATGTTCCTTTGTGCCCGCTGTTTTTTCTGATGGTTTCTATGACTGACTGCTTGCTTATGTATAAATGTGTAGGGCCAGGAGATCCAGATTACCATGTGATGGTGCTGTTGAATTTGACGTAGACATGGTCCATGCAGTGTGTGAAAAGGAGCCTCTTATTCCTATATTTGTAGGAACCTTACCCAAGACTGTTCATTCTTTTTTAGAAAAGGAGGATGACCCCCGGCCTCTGCATCTGGGAGATGCATACGGCCACTTTATTGATTATTCTCGAGGACCTTACAAAGTATTACAACAATGTGCCTGAATCCACCATCTTGGCAACATATGTCGCTACTCCTATCCAATAGCAACATATGCCGCTACTCCTATCCAATATGATGAAGGGGTGCTAGCTGGGCCACTACCCAAACCACTCACCTAAGCCTAACATCAAAAGCCGGAAGCCGAAACTCATTCGGAAGCCCCAGCCGAGCCACATACCGGGTCTGGGACACAATCCGGTCAGACGCACTCGCGTGTCGTCGTCGCCATCTTCCACAGGTCTTCAGATCATATTGAGGCTTCTACCTTGTCTGGCCACTCTGCCATCGACGTCACCATGATGCCAGACAGCAACCTCCTCCTGCTCGAGTCCAGCACCGCGCATCGGGCGCCGAGTCTCCACTGCACCACGCCGCCGAGATCCGCCGTCATCAATGTGCAGGATGAAGCACCGCTCCACCAAAAAACCGCCCACTGGTCCCTCAAACCCGTGTACGCCTCCAAGAATGACGCCCCCAAGGAGGAAACGACACCAACGCACCGCCGTCATCTGATCTAATGATCTAGGGTTTCCCCCGGAGGTAGCGGATAGAGGTCTGGAGCTTCTCCACGGCGAGGCCTTCAAGAAGGTAATGACACGAGAAAGTGTCGCCAACACCGGTCTTGGCATCAAGCCAAGAATTAGGTTTTCACCCGGATCCGCTGAAGGAACCGCCATCCAGCATCGTGTGCACGGGTCGCCGCCGATCTGAGCCGCCGCACATTGAGGTCGCACTGGCCAGATCAGATCTGTCCGGAGGGCAACCCACACATGGCGCCGACCGAACCCAGGCCCTCCATGCCGCCAAGGGCCAGAGGCGCCGGGGCCTCCACCACGCGCAGCCGCCCTGCCACCCACGCGGCCCAGGACGGCCAGCACCGCCACATCCCGTCGACGGTGCGCGCCCACCAGATCCGAGCAGAACGCCCCGATCCGCCGTCAAAACGGTCAGCCGCCGCTCCTCCACCGCGAGGAAGAGAGGAGGGGACCGCCGCTCCCTGGGGCCGCCGCCCTAGCATCCAGCGCCACTGCGCCATAGAAGAGGCCAGAGGGCCAGATCCATGCCGGCGCGCAGCTCCGCGTCGCATGGCGCGCCGTCCAGGGCTGACCTCCATGCGTGACAGGAGAGGAAAGGCCCGCCGCCGCCGGCAACCGCACGGGCTTTGCCCGGCGGGGACGCTCGACGGCGGCGAGGGGGAGGGAGCAGGAGGGGGGTGGCGGTGGCGGCGGGGTTAGGTCACCCGAGCCGCCCCCCTGAGAGCGACGCGGGTGCGAGTCACCAGACCCAAGACTGTTCATGGTAAATACTTTAGCTATTGCTTCTCTGCAATCATGCTGTTTTGATATATCAGTGTTTTTGTAATTCACATGATACGCCGTCTTGGTTTACTGCAGGTGTTAGAGGGCTCAGTGGTAGCTCCGCTTGCCGATGGTATATTCATGAGGATATACCCGATATCAATTCCTTCAGTGCTAGGTCTGTTCTATAGAACGAATATATTCCTGTTCTTTCTTGGTTTTCTTCTTTGCCTGCTCTACATTAATATTTTATCTCTTTATGTTATTAGCATGGGAGACTGAGTTCACTCCTCTCACAGTTTATGCTCCCTCAGGGCAAAATGCCATTTAACCCTCTGTGCATCCAGATCCAATTGTTCAACCGTGCTTCAGCTGGCTCAACTTGGTCCTTTTGACGAAATGGTGAGCTTGCTGCTCTTTAAAATTGATCCTTGGTGTAATAAGTCATCACTTTTTTTGTGACTCTTAATGTTGGTTCATGTTCTTTATGCAGAACAAGTGGTTCCACTGTACTGCTGTTGTTGACAGAATTATGCCTGATAAGCGTTGGTGGTTTGCTTCGTGTGGCGCATGCCGCAAATCCGCTAGGTTCCTCGGTGACCGGTGCCAATGCTCAGACATTAGCTGCACTTCTGGTGGTGCAGACCTAACGTAAGCATTGTTTCCTTCCCTATTTAATCCACCTATTAATCGCCATGTAGTGACCTGCTCACTTTCTGTTTTTTAGATACTGTGTTGGTGTCATAGCGACCGATGGCACGACGGAGGCTGAGTTTGTCCTCTTTGACAAAGTTGCGACAGGGGCCAGGGAAATCTCTTGTGGCCTTGCTGTGGCAGAGATACCCTGGCCAAGCTACGCTTGAGGACGCGGCACGTTTGGCTGCGCTTGACATGACTATCCGACCAGATTCGATCAGCTTGTTGGACAGAAGTCTAAGCTCCTGGTTTCCATAAGAAGAGTCTTTTTTTTTCAAAATTGGAGAATTTGTCTTTCCAGATAAGCATGATAGAAGAGACTTATAATCCTGAGCTACCGTCATCTGTTTTTGGTCTCGCTTCAGCCTCCGATAAATCATCCTCATCCAGTCAGGTTTTGGAGCTGGGTGCCCCTTATGTGGGTAATGCTGTGTCGACCGTAATGAGCCCACCTTGTGGCCTGAGTCTCCATGATGGACATACCTTACCTGCTAGCGGCCAGTCACCCACAATTCAGGTATACTTAATGTAATTGGTTTACCATTCTTTTGTTTGTTTTGTTTCTTTAGTCGTTTGCTTTTTAATTCTAAACTTGTGTATTTTGATCATCAGCCTCACACGCTGACTTTCCACGGTACCGGCTTGCCCTTCACCTCCAGTGGCAGGGTATGTGCCTAAAGCTTTTGTCGGTGCATATATAGCTTACCTATTCCATTCCTATCTTAAAGTGTCGCTGCCATATCACCTGCAGCAAGTCAACTGCTCATAAATGTGGTCCAAGGCGTTCTCACGGTTCATGCTATTGTGAGCAGCATTTCCTCTTCGCAAGAAACGTTCACAACCCTACTGGTTCATGCTATTGTGAGTGTTTTTTATTGCAGCTCTGCCCATACTACACATTCTACAGTTTCATGGATGAAGCTGAACTCTATTGGTGCTAAAGCATCGATTTTTACATTATAGATTTTCTCCCATGTGCATCTTGACTAGCCTCGGAAGAGCCTGCTCAAGATTTTATAATTTGATTTGATAAGGTTCAGCCCTAATTTTGTGTTACTTATTCAGTTTGAGTTTCACAGATTGCAATAAATATGCTTGATGTGGTTAGCTGTTAGCCAGAATTGATGATCTGAGCATGTACTAACTTTATTATTTAGAAAAAATAGTGATGGTAGATCCCATGCAGGTAGCATGTTATAATGTTTTTGCTTCTGTGTCATTTGGGTATATAAATTGTTTGAATGGCAAGTATTATGCAGTATTTGAGAAACCTAGACATATGCTAAATCTGTAAGGTGCTCTCTTATTTTGCAATATTTCTCTGGCCTCCTCTTTTAATTATGAGTGAGGTATCATTGGATTCTTGTGACTATTGATCCTATTTTCTGCAGAATTGGACAATCATGATACACTCGGTTAAAACCTTGTGATGGTGCCCCAACTGATCATGTTTTCACACCTATGATTCAGACAGCATTTGAACTTGCAGGTATTTGTGGAAATGTTTCTCCAGTTATTGGCAGGGGAGCTCGTGAGGCCATCAACTAAGCTGGGTGCTTTATGGCGAGCTTGATCATGGACTGACATGTGATCAAAATATTTAATTCTCTATCAGGTACTCCTCTCTCTTTGACTGCCCCATCTGGTCTTGTTTAGACTTTAGAGTCAAGCACTCTGATTTTCAATTGTTAATTGATTGTTTTCCTGAACACAATGTGCCCAATCTGAGAAAGAAGAGCAGATTATAGCGGAAGAGTTTGGTGGAGAAGAAGAGCAAGGTGATTTATCTCTCTTGTGAACACAGTCAAGTTTAATCTGAGCAATTGGTTAATTGGTGCCTATTTTTAGTAACTTAATATACCTTCTGTATAGAAAGCACAGAAAATGTCACGGGCTGTATTCAGGCTGTTATGTGCTATTCATGATCTGAGAAATATTTCATGTAGTTTTCGAGGTTAAGTGGGCCCGCCTTGTGTTTGATAGTCCATTCTTGGTTGGTGAATACTAGAGGCTGGGGCGCCCCTCGGGGGGGCTCCTTGCCGGTTAGGTGCATTCCAATCACCACGCATGATTCATATTATGCGATTCGGCTCTGTCCACCTATCATCCAGTCAGTATCTACAAGGTCTTTTACTATTTTTTAGGTAATTCAGAGCAAAAATGTACGGGAAGTGACACTGCTTATGTGCAAGGTACACAATAACCCATATCATGTTGGTATGAAGAAGACACAAATACATGTTCAGAACCTGATGCACTACATAGCAGATGCAACATACATTACGACAAAGGCATGGAGCATTATCAGTTTTGTACATCAAAACAAACATAGCCTGTTGGTGTTGCGCGTAGATTCCTTTCTTTCTTCTCCACTATAATTTCGTCTTTGCTTTGGCCTCTTTACCTTCCTGTCATCACTGGAATGAAGAGCAGGTTCACCTCGTGTTCAAACTGTCACGTAATCAATCAAGAAGTTGATCAAGTGTTATCGTTTCCTTTAACGCTCTACCTCTAAATAGTTGGTACATCTAGGTAGATTGATTAAAAAAATGTTCTATGATAATATTGATCATTTGCAAGAAATTGGATGTACCAGTCAATATTGAATATTTCAGAGAAGTTGATGCAGTTGCTGTGTGATTTACTTGCAAGATTTCATTCAGAGAAGTATAGAAATGCAGTTAATAGGTGTGTACTTGCAACTCTTTTCTCTCTGTGTTTACCATGGACAAGAATGAATGAACCACACAGTTTGATAAATCAGCCCACTTGAGTTGGCATGCTAACTTATATGTAATCTCTGGTCAGAATGCAATAGATCATATTTGTAGTGTCATGCTGACTACCACCCACTGATGGCCTGATCTGACAATTTTCTAACCAGTTGTTGTACATGACAAGACCTATGTGATGAATGAAACACTGGGAAAAAGAAATCATAAATGAATCTGAAAGTAGTACTGAATTTTGGGAGCATTGGTTGAAGTGGGAAATTACTCCTATAAATGATAGGACGCTACCTGGCCATCCAGGGCACATGGTGAGGCGCTTAAGGCAGCTTATCCTGGCCATTGATTGTGGTAGAAACAGTGGGTAAATAGTAAATTTGGATTCACCCTGACCGTTGGATGTCTCCTCCTGCCGTTTTCACTTCCTCTTTGGCTGGATTGGTCGATGACAACTGGGGCCGTGTGCGTGTGGGTCCGTATGTTCGCTGCACCGAGTTACCCTGCTCCAAGTGGCTCCTTGATTTCGATTCGGTGCGGTGAAAATATCTGCCCCTCGCACGTCGGCACCAGCCTCCTTGTCTCTCGACCGAGTTAACGAATTAGTATCATTAGTCATTTTTTTTGCCATGCAGTATTAATTCTAAGTCTAAGTGTTGTAAAATGGTCTAACCCACGTATAAACGCGTATTGACAGTGTATCTGACCGCTGGGACCTATGTGTCAGAAGTCAAACCTGGTATGTTTTTTTTGCAAAAAACACCTTTGTTGTAAATTTAATCGCTCAAAACCCCGCCGCCTCGACCTCGCTGGCCTCCCCTCGCCGGAGCCCCGTCGCTGGCTCGCCGATGCCCAGACGCTGGCTCGCTGGAGCAGCAAAGCAGCGGCTGGCTCGCCGGTGCAGCGGCTCGTGTTAGGCGACGAGGGCTAAGGGCGGCCCGGTCGGGCGGTGCGGCAGCGCGGTCGGGCGATGTGGCGGCGCGGTGGCCGGAACCATCGCTGGATTCAAACGCCGCCACCCGTGTCCCTCGTCCCTGAATCCCCGATCCGCTCAAGCTAAACGAGCCAGCGTTGCATGGGCTGCAGCATGGCCCAACCGTGGCCTAGTGAGGCCAACACATTTAAAAAAAATATGTGATAACATGTATTTCTTTAATGTACAGTTACTAAAAAATTTGATAACATGTACTAAAAATTATTGTGTAATCGTAATAAATTTTATAATGCATGCTGAACATTTTATAAAATACTATAATTTTAAATACGTGCTCAACTTTTCCCAAAAATGTTCTGAACATTATTTTAAATGCACAAACACTTTATTTACCTTTCAAAGTAATTTTAAAACTTTTGAACTCAACCCAAAAATAATGCAGAGACTAGCAGGTTTATTCTTCAGACCGAATGTAGTGTGTGTATATTGATAAAAATCATACACACACATATATATAGACATCGTATATTATAAAATGTTCAATATATACACGATTAAGTTTTTATAATATGACATCGTATATTTAAATAAGATCATTGCATATTTAAAAATGTTCAATATACATATTAAACGATGCGGCAAACATTTTTTAAATTGTACGACACGATGGACATATAATACTTTTTAGTATCGCATAAAAACCGGAACGGCTCGGAGTTTAAAGACGTATGCACGTACTAGTTTTTTTTTTCTTTGCATAGTATACATGTGCTAGTTGAGGCAGCCACTAGTTGACGCATAGGATGGCGTGTGTCAGAGGCAGCAAGCGTGCACGGCGAACGACTCGGCGGGATCGATTCGGCGGTCGCGCGATTTTCTACTTTGTAAAAAAAACGAATGGCACAAAGTATAACTAGACCTGCGTGTGCAGTTTTGGCTAGAAGGAGCAGCGGCGCAGCGGCAGCGAGCGTTCTCTTCTAACGGCACGTTGCGGGCTCGAATCCATGCGAGCGCGTGGCGTTATTAAAAAAAAAGGGTTTTTTGGCAAGACCATTTTTTGAAAAAATAGAGGATATATGTGTGATTAAATAGAAAGTAAGGGTTGTTTTTGTAAAAGAGCATGCCACGTCAATCCCTGACACACGGGTCCTAGCGGTCACGTGCCGAAGTGTGGTAGCTCTCTGCAATTAACTCCTCTCGACCCGGCTTCTTTCCTCTCTCTCCCGTTCACTTTCCCCTTTTCGACCCACTGTTCCCGCGTGTTCTGCTCGCATCGCCTTCTTCCGCCCCGATCTGCTTGCTTTCACGATGACCTTCGCCGTCGATCATGCGTATGGCTGAGGTTAGATCGTCCACCTTGTTGTTCGGTTCGTCCATGGTTCGATCTCCTCCGTTCTAAACCTTCCTTTTTTCCTTTCCTGCAGATCTAGGTTGTCCTGTGTTTTCTTGACGTGGTATTGATTCTTGAGTAGGTGCCCCTCTTTGCTTTTTCTTCCGGTGTATTTTCGTTTCCTCTGCTTGCATTTCTTGCCTTGCGGCTTACATGTTTGATGAAATTCCTAACTCGCCGGTGCTCTCAGGTTTTACTGAACGTGGTCTGCTGGTGCTCAACTGTGCGTCCTTCTTCCGCCGTTCATCGACCGTCTGCTGCTGCTGCTCATTCTTAGCAGAGGTTTGTCTCTCGCGCTCTTACGCCTTTTAGGTCTTCTATGGTACCTTTTGGTGTTCCTTTCTGTTAGCAGACTTCTTTTTATAGATCTTTGTGTGTGCCTTTTTTCAAGTAGGTTCTTGTAAATAGAAAAATATTAGCCTTCATGCAAGTCGTCTAAACTGATGACAGTATCGGGTGCCTTATTCACCTAGAAAGGAAGAAGTAGTGCTCTTTTTTACATTGGATATTGTTATTTCTTTTCTGTATATTTGTAATTACTTTCTAGGTGCAGCGGCAGCGAGCGTTCTCTTCTAACGGCACGTTGCGGGTTCGAATCCATGCGAGCGCGTGGCGTTATTTTTGAAAAAAGGGTTCTTGTGGCAAGACCTTTTTTTGAAAAAATAGAAGATATATGTGTGATTAAATAAAAAGTAAGGGTTGTTTTTGTAAAAGAGCATGCCACGTCAATCCCTGACACACGGGTCCAAGCGGTCAGATACGTGGTCAATACGCACTTATACGGCTGTCAGATCGTTTTACAACACTTAGGCTTAGAGTTGGTACTGCATGACCAAAAAAATGACTAATGGTACTGATTACGTGCCGAAGTGTGGTAGTTCTCTGCAATTA